GCTCTTCATTTGGGTAATTCTGTGCAGAAAACAATGGGGCTTCTTTAAAACTTCAAACATGCATTACTTTAATAGAAAATGTGTTTATACTAAAAAGGAAAGAAGGACAGTAGATGGAAGGGAGGAAGAAAAGAAAGAAAGCATATCAAATCCAGCAACAGGATCAGTGACTGTTAAATTCTACTGAAAGCCAGACATTTCCCCCTGAGGGCGCATAGGAGTGACTGTTTTTCTGGCTCAGAACATCCCTCAAGCCCCACCAGTCTGGAAAATGTAAGTTTTGAGGAGCGTATTTATTCATGCCTTTTCCCCTAAAGGGAACTGCAGTGTTCAACATTAATACATTTTATTCACATTCTCAGTTTTCTCAAGAATATAGCAAATGTTTAACTTTTCAGTTCTGTATATTCCTTGCTAATGTGGTTATTAATCTAGAGCCCAACTATGACTCACGTCATGTTTTTGTCTCCTTCCAGAACCTTGGTAAGACTCTTCCACTGTGCTTCCCATCAGACTCCTTAAAGTTAGACATTAGATAAATTATTAATTGTTGTTAAAATATAACACTTTCTTGGTATTTGAGAATGTTTTCATGTGAACCTAACTATGAGGTATGGGTAAACAATCCATTCTGAGTATTTAGATGTGTCTTAGAATCTCAGAATAATAATAAAAAAAAGTAATGATCTTTTAGGAATCATTTATCAGTCCTCTGGCAGAAAGGGACACATTCTTTCCAGAAAAAAAGATTCACCTTCTTTTAGCAACATGTTAGGAAACACCATATATATCTGTGCAAAATTATTTGTAAATTTCGCCTGTGAGGCTATAAAATCACAGGTAGAGGTTTGATCTAGCTATTTTTATTGTGAACTGGCTCTATCAATATGGAACCCAATTGAGGAAAGTGTTGGGAATTGCTTTACTCATTAAGCAAGAAGTTCAGATTTGTTCTCAGATTTCTTGAAGATACTCATACTATTTCTTAGGGTTGTAACAAAGTACCACAAGCTGGGAGGGCTTTGCTTAAACAAGAGAAATTTATTGTCTCACAGTTCTGGAGGTGTCAGTACGGTCGGTTCCTTCTGAGGGTTCTTGAATAGAATATTCCAGGCCTCTCTCTTAGGATTTGGTGATCTGCTGACAATTTTTGACATTCCTTGCATTGTAGATGCATTACCCTAGTCTCTGCCTTTATCTTCACATGGCATTTTTCCTTCATTTAGTCTTTGCTCTGTGAGATGTCTCTCTCTCCAGGTTTCCTCTTGGTAAAAAGGATGGCAATTGTTAATATGTTGATTTAGAGTCCATCCTAATGACCTTATTTTAACTTGATTACCTCTGTAAAGACCCAACTTCCAAATAAGGTTGCAATTCAGAGGTACTGGAGGTAAAAACTTTACCATATCTATTTTGTTGTTGTTTAGTAACTAAGTCATGCCTGACACTTTTGTGACCCCATGGACTGTAGCCCGCCAGACTCCTCTGTCCATGGGATTTTCCAGGTGAGAATACTGAAGTGAGTTGCCATTTCCTTTTCCAATATCTATTTTGAGGTGACACAGTTCAACCCTTAATAGTGCCACTGAGTCTATTTTGCTATTACAAAGCCAAAAGCCTCTACTGTGCTAGAACCAGGCTTTTTCTCTAGTCCTTTCCATTCGCTTTCCTCTCAAACAGACTTCCTGGATGACTTTTGCCTCTGGATACATTCATGGAGAGAAAGAGGTTGGACTTCCATCATGTAAGAAGCTGAGATTATGTGAGGTTAACTAAAAACTCAACACAAATTTCCAGGTAATTTATACTGAATCTATTGCTTGACCCACAGAAGAAAATATAACCTCTGAAAATGTTAACTGTAACGTAGTGATTAAGAGGTGACACTCTGCCTCAACAAAATATTATCAAATCAAATTGAGCAATACTTCAAAAAGATCATACACCAGGGTCAGTGGGACTTATTCTAGGTATGCAAGAAATGATTAAGCTTGCTTAAATCACTCACCATGATACACCCATTACCAAAATGAAGGATAAAAATCATATGATCATTTTTATATACAAAAATGAAAGAAAATGTAAGAAGTGGATTTTATAAATATAGGTGATGCTGAAGAACCAAATAAAGATCATTCAGTTAGTTCATAAGACTGATTATGTGGTCAAAACACAGACTTCATGCTCTTGATTTAGAAGATTTAGTTTCATTCCAGGTACATGTCAATAGCCAAGGGTTAGAAGATGAAAACCACATAATCTGTAACCATATGGTTCTTTGTGGGAAAGACATCCATTAAAACACTTTGTACTATCTGGTAAATCATAAGAAAAAGTTCAGGCCAGAAGGAGAAAGAGATGAGGTGATTTTTGGAAGATAAGAATTATCTAGTTAAATGAGAAATGGATGTCAAGGTAGAAGTATTATCAGGAAAGGCCCAGAGGTGAGAAATGTAAGGTGTGTCCATGGAAATGCCACAGTTCAATATTATTACTAAAATGTAAAATAAGAAGTAGAGAATAATAGATCCAAAGGCCAATTAATTGTTGAGTTTGGAAGAAGAAGAGGGATATAGGCTTTTATTACATTTGCTAGATTTTGTACTTTATTTAGAACTTTTGCATTTATGTTCATGGGAGATATACTTTATTTTTCTTTTCTTGTACTGCTCATACTTTATTTTTCTTTTCTTGTACTGCTCTTGTTGAGTTTTTTAGTTTAATCAAGTTATATTAATACTAAATTCATAAAATAATTAATTTGAATACTTCCCTCTTTTAAAAATTATTTAGATTTTGTAAGGTTGGAATTATCTATTCTTAAATTTTGATAACATTACCTGTAACACCATCCATGCTTTTGATCTGGAAAGTCTTTATATTTCTAATTCAGTTTCTTTGGTGTTTCTCAGTCTATTAAAGTTTCTTCTTGATCATTTTGTTTGTCCCCCTTATCTATGCTTTCAAATGTATTGACATAAGGTTCATGGTATCTTGTTTCCTTCTTAATCTCTGTTGTATCTCTAATTGTGTTCCCTTTGTCATTTCAAATGTTGTTTACTTTTGCTTTGCCTCTGTTTTCTTGATCAACCTTGCTAGAGGTTTGTCAATTTTATTTATCTTTTCAAAGAATCAAGTTGGCTGTTTGACATTCCTGTCATATGTTGCATTACATTTCCCTAGGTTCTCTTTTTCTTTTTATTGTTTTCTTCCTTCTTCTTTGTGTTTCCTCTGTTCTCTTTACACTACTCAAGGTTGAATGCTTAGATTATCTATTTCAGCCTTTCTTATTTTCTGCTGTCTGGACACAGTCCTTATTTTACATTTCTTATGTTGTTCTTTGATCAATGACTCTCTCTCATTTTATATCATGCGCTTCTTTAATTTGCAGACCACTTCATTTTTCTGTTGTAGTTTCATATCTAATATTTTGTGCAGTGCCTGACTCATAATAGTGGTTCAATGAATATGTGCTGAATGGGTGAATGTTTGGTATGATTTGTAAACAGCTTCACACTGTACACACTATTAATATATTTATCTGAGCTGAAAAAAGTCCAGTAGCTTGGAGTATATGAGAATATCAATGCAACTGTCTAAGAAAACTTATAGACCAATCTTTTTGAGAGATATTTTCATTTATAACCTAAGGGAATAAAAATGTCTTCAGACAAACACTTTCTGAACTGCTGAGTGTTACAAAAACAGGAAAGTCAGTCATCAAAAGTATTTATGAAGCCAATCTGAAGACCATCATTGCCTTTCTTCTTCAGTGAAGTATATGTGTAGGAATTCTTTCTCAGTAGGATTATGATGCAATTTTTAATTTTACCACAGTAACAAGAAATTTCCTTAATTTCTGTCAAAAGATCATTAACACTTGGACTCAGATCTAAGTTCAAATGCCAGCATTGTTCCCTGACTATGTCTGTGACTTCAGGCAAGTGACTCTATCTCCCTGAGCTTCAACTCTCTAATGCGTAAAAATGGGGATGGTAGTAACTCCTCCTCTTCCTGATTGTTGTAAAGATTAAATGAACAGATGGATATAAAGTGCTTAAGATGGTGTCACATGGCAGGTGCTCAGTAAATATTATTAGAGTTGTTGCTGTTACTATAAGCATGAACTTTTCATGGAAGGAACTGTGTCTTATGCTTCTTATACCTCATGCCTGACACATTGCAACCCCTCTTCTGTGCTCAAGCATGATTGCAGACTTGAACTAAAATCCTCATGTTGATGATGATAGATGATAAAGAAAAGGAGCTATGGAAGAAAGGAATTCTGGCTTTGCAACCTTCAGCCATGTGCTTCAAATTCAGGTAAAAAGAATGTAATGGAGAAAGAATATTTTCCAGTGTCTCCTGCACAGGGAGATGGATTTAACCATTAAAAGTGAGGCATTAGCAAAGATATTCTGGGGAAATAAGGATGAACATGTGCAATAAAAAGGTGATTTTTTTCTATTGTTTGGTTAAAAATAGGCACATTCATTGGGAAAACTTATCTAAAATTGCTTTCATACAAACAGCTCTGTGGGACCTTCTTATAATGTCTGTAATGAGAAAACTGGATTGGAATCATGCAGTTATGAGTGTATTCATAACAGATAATGTATAACATTACTTGACTTCTGGAATGACACAATGCATGGAATAATTAGCTATGTTACTGTAGTACTCTCTTCTGCCTGGATCATGTGGATTTCTTATATCAGAAGGTCAGTGGCAATGTTATTAGTTTTGAAGAATTTTCATTTCTTTAAAAAAATTAGAAAATGACTTTCAATAATGACATAAACAAATATAAAAATCTGCATTTACTATAGCTAGTGTAAGACATTTTTTTTTGCATCAATTACTATTGTAATTTAGGCTGAATAATACTGGCTATTTTGCTACTCTGCTGAAGTCCTCTTTTTTGAGCCTACAATGAACCTGTAATACTTATGGAAAGAGTTACCATAGCAACCTATATTGATGTCACAAGCTCAGGCTTCTGACTTCATTGCATAATGCAGTAGCAACTGGATTTGCAGCAGAAACACCCTGCTAAAGAACAAGTATCTTGGTTTACAGCAAAGAGGACAAAGGAAAACAGCAAGTTCTAGGGGGTTGAAGGCTGGATTGTGAGTTAGACTGTCTGAGTTCTTATTTTAATCCTGCTTCTCACTTGTTGCCTTGTTTTGAGTAATTGTGTTTACATGTGTGCACTGAGGTTTGAAACAAGAAATCTCCTATATATGGGGTAGGCATAGAAGAGAAAGCTCATTATTTAACGTTTTAGCATTTGGTAGACATCTTAATAAAGCTAAAGCAGTCTAAAAATAACCTGGCAAGAAAGGAATTATTAATGCCTTGTAGTTGATACCTAGCTAGCTCACAAAGATAAAGAAGACACTTTGAAATAAAAAAGCATGTAGCTAGGGTTTTTTACTTTTTTGAAATAGTAATGGATAAAGGTCAAGATTGATGCCCTAATCTTAATAAGAATGTAAAGAACTCTTACATAAATATATCATATTATTTAGCTATCTATTTAAAGATGTTTTAAATAGTCTATGTTCAGAGTAAGAGGAATCTGTATCTATTAGTGAGTGTGATGTTTCTCATGTTTATATTGTATACATTAAATCATAGATGTTTCTTAATTTTATCATGCAAATATTTATCCTCATTAGAAAACAACTGAATATGTGAAATAGTTTTGCTGATTTAAAATGAGATTTCAAAAAATCCTAATGATATCTTTTTTTGCAATGGCCTAATGTTTTCATTGGAGCCTGTAACCTGTTCATTATGTCAACTGGTCTAACTTTCCTTTTTGTACACTGTATTTCAGAATTGAGATAAAAATAGTTGGGAATTTGAAAAGGCATTTAAACTAATAAACTTTGTTGCCAGAAACTAAGCTGAAAGTATGGTATAGCTTTTTATTTGCTCTAAGGTGATGAGCTAGAACATTTTGATAGAACTAAGGCCCTTTCCACCCCCTCTATCCATATGCTTCAAAATCATTCCAAAATATCAGGAAAAATTTAACTTGCTATAAAACTTCATCATTTAAATTCCATGTTAAAAACCAAGTATGTTGGTTGTTAAAAACCACATTAAAAAAAACAATAATTTTCCTTTGTGGTTCAGATGGTAAAGCTTCTACCTGCAATGCAGGAGACCTTGGTTTGATGCCTGGGTCAGAAAGATCCCCTGGAGAAGGAAATGGCAACCCACTCCAATACTCTTGCCTGGAAAATTCCATGGACGGAGGAGCCAGTAGGCTACAGTCCATGGGGTCGCAAAGAGTTGGACATGACTGAGCAACTTCACTTTCCTTCACTTTTTACACAACTTTTAAGTTAATGTTGAAAATGAAGTGCCAAGTATAATAAAAGTTGTGGCCATATTTTCATTAAGCACTTAAATGCACCTGAGTTCCATGTCATATTGTTGCATTAGTCATTTGTAGCAGTCTCAAAGTCTTGCAAAATCTTTAAAAAAGCCAGAATTTAGTATACAATGTTTGTACAGAATATATAAGGATAAAAACTAGTTCTTTCTTCGTAAGCTATGCCTATCAAACTAGCTAACGTGATACTTCTTTTATTTTAGGGAATAAACTTTTGTGTGTTCGTGTGAATTTAATATAACATGTTTAATGACTTATTAACACAAAAAGAACTTGAATAAACATAGTGAAATTCTGTAAAAGGAAAAAAAAAAAAAAAAGGCAGGTTAGTCTCCAAAATTTTTCCCCTGTTTAAGCAAAGAGAACAAGTAGTATTGGCTACCTCCAGAACTGAAATTACTCCTTACTCTAAATTCATCATTTCTTAAGTACAGCCCCTATAAAGGGCAGAGAATAAATTTATTAGGAAAAAATCACAATGTCAAAGAACTAAAATTATGGAAGGAGCTTTAGTTAGTCTGTTTTTACCAAACTGAGGTCTGAAAGTGAAAGTGAAAGTCACTCAGTCATGTCCCACTCTTTGTGACCCCATGGACTATACAGCCCATGGAATTCTCCAGCCAGAATACGAGAGTGGGTAGCCTTTCCCTTCTCCAGGGGATCTTCCCAACCCAGGGATCAAGCCCAGGTCTCCTGCACTGCAGGCGGATTCTTTACCAACTGAGCTATCAGGGAAGCCCAAACTGAGGTCTAATAGATTTAAATAACTTTCCCAAAGTTATTTAGTGGAAGAATCCAAACCTCAAACATCTATTTGTTCTACCACATCACATTGTCTTAATCCTGCCTCAAGGCTTTAATCCAGAGTCACCTCCTTGGCATATAATCTGATATATAGTCTTTTTTTATTGATTGAGGTATAATTGATGTATTAGTTTCTTGTGTACAACATAATGATTTGATATTTGTATATGTTGCAAAATGAACCCCTTGATATGTCTAGTTAGCAACCAAGCCCTTTGTTTCTTATTTTTTTAAAATGTTTTATTCTTTTTTTCCCTTTGACAAATATCATTAGAGATTAGAGACAAATTTTTTTAGTCTTTTCAAGGAACCAACTTATGACTTTGTTTATTACTCTCATCGTCTTTTGCTATATAACAACCTTTGAAACTTATTGCGGGTCAGGGATTCAGGGAGAGTCTTCCTGGCTCATTCTCTTGCATCATGTGGTACTGACTGGGTTTACTTGGTAGTATTCAGTTGGCTCTTCGTCTGGTCTGGAGAGTCCAAGATAGCTTCATTCACATGCCTGATGCCTCGGCAAGGAAAGCTAGAGGGATGAACTCAGTTGGATTTCTCCCTCTATTTACATAGCACAGGACTCCTCCACAAGGCCTCTCCAATCTGCACTTCTTACACTGTAGCTTGGAACACTAAGAATGTTCTATAGGAAGTGGAAATTACATATTCTCTTGAAGGCTAGACCTAGAGCTGGCAAAGCATCACTTCTACCCTACTCTTGGTCAAAGCAGTTGCAGAACAAAGATTAAGGGGAAGAGAAATAGACCTCTCCTATCAATGAGATGAGTGTCAAAGAATTGGGGCTATCTTTATTCCATCAAGGGCTTCCATGGTGGATCAGATGGTAAAGCGTCTGCCTGCAATGCGGGAGACCTGGGTTTGATCCCTGGGTTGGGAAGATCCCCTGGAGAAGGAAATGGCAATCCACTCCAGAACTCTTGCCTGGAAAATTCCATGGACGGAGGAGCTGGTAGGCTACAGTCCATGGGGTTGCAAAGAGCCGGACACGACTGAGTGACTTCACTTTCACTTTATTCCATCACCTTGATCTTGTGTTGTATTTTAGTTTCCTATTTCGGTGTCCATCCTTTCTTTAAATTCTTTTCTGTTTTCTTTGCTTATAGTCTGTCATTCTGCCTTCCCACCCAAAATCTTAAGTTGGATATTTATATCATTAATTTCCACCATTTATTCTTCAAATAAAAGCACTAAAGCGTAAAGTTTTCCTCAAATGATTGCTTTCATTGCATATCAAAGTAAAACTATGCTGGCATTTTGCTCTTTATTCAGTTACAAATATTTTCAGTGTTCCAATTTTATTTCTTCTATGATCTATGAGTTATTTGGAAGTGCGTTTTTAGAATTTCAATCATATGGATTCTTAATAATAAGTATCTACTTGAGACTTAACATATATATCAAATGCAATGTATGATCCTTATTTGGATCCTGATTTGAATAAACTAAGAAAAAATGTAACATAAGGAAATATGAACACTGGACATTTTAGGAATTTTATGTATTTTAAAATATATATAATGGTATTATGGTTATGTTAAAGAAAAAAGTCCTTCCTTTATAGAGTTACAAGTATTTATGGATGAATTTGCTTTAGAAAAATTCACATGGGAGTGGATATATAGATGATAAAAGATTGACTATGAGTTGAAGAACCACTGAAGCTTGATTCATGGTACATGAGCATTCTGGGTTATTTCATTTACTCTTGTGTGTGTTGGAAATTTTTCATTTCATTTTTCATGAGATGATATTAGAAACTCATCTCCTTAAAAATATGATTTCTGATTTAATTTCATTGTGACTAGAGATTGTAATACATATATAAGCACACAAAAACATACACCACATAGACCAAATTCTCTCTGTATAATGTGAAGCATATGTATGTTCACACAAGGATATGTATTATATATGTAAGATAAGTCTTGCTTTATAGATTAATGTATTCAATTTTGAGAAGTGTATCAAGTGTGCTAAGAAATCTATCTATCAACATTAAATCAAGATTGGTAGTCCAAAATATTCATATTTTATAAACTTTTTTCTGCTTGAACTATCAGTAATTGAAAAAGATGTGTTTCATTTTCATTTTTATATTATTATGATGATTGTCATTTTATTCTGGAGTTCTTGACTGTTTTGCTTTGTGTAATTTGAGATAGGGCCATCACCTCATATCTAGTTGCTCAATCTTACTGATAATTTGAAACCAGATAGTATCACTTTTCTTCCTAATTTATTTTTTTTATCTTAAAGACTATTATTATTATATTAATATAATTCTTCCCAGCTTTCTTTGAGCTATTTGTTGGACATATCTTTCAACCCTTTCCTCTTTATATTTTTAGGTGTGTCTGATATAGAATTATGTTTATCTGGCCTTAAAATTCTGTTTTTAAGTGGCAGGTTTGGAGTATAACATAAATATTGTGATTAGTCATATATTTACATATTTCTATAATCTTAACTTATACTATATTTCTTTCTCTTCCTCTATTTTTTCTTTTTCTTTTAAATTTGCTTGTTTTATTATTCGATTTTCTCACTTCACTGACTAGAAATGATATATTCGAACTTATTTTAAAATTTGACATTTTAAGGGGTGTCCACTAACTTAACAATAACTAAGTTTAACCAACCATTTATACTCTCCCCTTTCGGAACAATACCAGGGTTTTGAACCAATTTTTCTAATCATCTATTCTGACATCGCTGCTATTACTCTTTAGGTTCTATCATTTAATTTCCTTAGACATTTTATTTATTATTTTGTAAGACAAAGTTTATATAGACTTATCTATATGTTTACCAATTTCTTCTCACTTTTCTTAGATCTTCCTTCTGGGATCATTTTTTTTTTCCCCAGCAGTATATCTTCTAAAAATTTCTTATGAAAGT